TGGAATGTAAAACCTGTTCAAGTGTGTGTTTGTGCACCTGTCACCGTCTCTTGCTTGAATTCTTATTGCCACACTCAGGATCCAAAGCGTATATGCATTGAACTGTCTGTCTCCTGTCAAATGCAGGTACCGAAACAAGCATGATTTTTTGTGACTTGCCATTAATGACCACATAAGAGAAGACTAATGCCTCCCTTTTTGTAATGATATTGAAAGTCTGCGCCTAATGCCAGATCGCAAGAACTGGGGATGATATCAACAGAATTTCTCCCATGCTGTAGCTCTCAGTAGAATTTTTCTCCATGGATATGTCACTGATTCAATTTTCTACATAAATCACATGCTCTTTGAGCTGCTCACTACAATATTCTCTCTGTGTAGCCTACAGAGAAACCTTACAACTTAGAGAATGTGGCTGTTTATGTTTTCAGCAGATAGATTTTTCTCTTATCCCTTGAAACATACAAAGGATTAATTTCACCCCCAACATAGAAAGGCCTAGCTCAAGCCACTTTAGTTCCCTCTGTGGGATTTACATGGTGATACAGGTTGAACTGATCCAGTCTTTCATTCTCTGGTTCAGCAACATCCATGGTCTGGCATGATTTGAGTTAGCTGGATGTCCACTTATCATGGGTATGAAGAAGTTACTAACCCTGTGCAGTAAGGATGGTTCTTCAAGATGTGTGTCCCTGTGGGTGCTCCACTCAGGTCTCGGTGCATCCTCGTGCCACTGATCGGAGGTTTTGGTGAGCAGTGCCCCTTGCACTGTGTCTGCACTCTCCGCATCTCGTGCTCCTGCCACTTGCTAAGAGCATGTGTGGCACAAGCCCCCACAGTTATTTTTCTACCTTAAGTCCCTTAAAAACTCCAAGCAGAGGGAAGGAAGGGGGGGTAATGGAGCACCCACAGGGACATGCATCTCAAAGAACCATCGTTACTGCATAGGGTAAGTAACTTCTTCTTCATTGAGTGGTGTCCCTGTGGATGCTCCACTCAGTAGCAGTACCTGCCAGATGGTGGTGGGCATTGGAGTCATTTATGTAGAGGAAGGAAGGAACCCATCTGCCAGAGATGCAGAGGGTATTGGTCCTTTCTGTAGGGCGTAATGTTGTGCAAAGGTGTGATGGCAGGACCATGTAGCAACTCTACAAATGTCCATCACTGGAATGTTATTTAGGAAGGCTGTAGTTGTGGCTATTGCACGCGTGGAGTGAGCCCTGATAATCTGTGGTGGCTGCTTCCCACAAAGTTCATAAACTCTGTATATGCAGCTGGCAATCCATTTAGATAGATGTTGTGCCAAGTCGGCTGTTCCCGTATGTGGCCCAGATGAAGCGATGAAGAGTCTATCTGATTTTCTGGTTCCCCTAGTTCTATCCAGGTAGAACACAATAGCTCGTCTCACATTTAATGTGTGCAAGATGGCCTCTTTGGAGGAAATATGTGATTTAGGAAAATATGCAGGTAGCTAAATGGGTTCATTTAGGTAGAAGTCAGATATGACCTTCGGGAGGCTCTTCAGGTGAGGCTATCTTTCATAAAGGTAGTGAAAGGTGGGTCGACCATGAGGGCTGCAACTTTGCCTATACGTCTTGCTGATGTTATTGCCCCTATGAAGGCCACTTTTGTGGACATGTATTGTGGTGATGTAGTGGCTAGTGGTTCAAAGGGTGGCTTGGTGAGCATGTTGAGAACCAAGTTCAAGTCCCGCGGTGGCACCAGGGGGTGCAGGTTTGGGCATGTTTTCTGCAGCCCCGTGAGGAATCACTTCACCATCAGATGTGCAAAGAGAGAAGTCGTCCATGGGTTCGTGGACTGCCAGGACAACTGCCAAGTGGACATGGATCGAGCTGATAGATAGGCCTGTATCACTGAGGTCCATGAGATAACTCCAACATGGTAGGTATAGGGGCAGTATTCAGGTGTAAGAGGTGAGTCGTGCACCATTGTTGAAAATGTGTCCATTTGTTCTGGTAGGTGCTTCTTGTGGAGGGCTGTCAACTGTTCAGTAGGGAGTGTTTGTTTGACCCTGTCCAAACAGGTAAGTTCTTCATTCTGGAACCATGGAGAAACCATGCTGTGAGTTTCAGAGTTTTGATGTTCCGATGGCATGTGGGGTGGGGTGGTCACTCAGACCCCTGACCAAGACTTCAAATTGTGTGCTTGTGTGAAGTCGATCATGTGTTGGAGGACTGGTTCTGTTGGAGCATTGCTGAGCTTGTTGTTGTCTGGCCTCTGCTGTTGGCCTTTAGTGGGGGACGTATTTATGTCTCTTGTTAGGTGGATGGTACATCCCTAGAGTGTGGAACATGGCATGAGAGTCCCTTATAGAATGTAGGACTTCATCTGTCTTTGTGGTGAACAGCTGGTTTCTATCAAAGGAGAGGTCCTGCACCTAAGATTGCAATTCTTTTGGGACCCCTGATGACTGCAGCCATGAGGCTCTACTCATTGCAAGTGCTGTAGATGTGGCCCTGGCCACTGTGTCAGCGACATCCATTGCAGCCTGGAGGGCAGTTTTTCCTATAGATAAACCCTCCTTAATAATGGACCGGAGGTGCTGTCTCTTATTCTCAGGAAGGTCCTGTACCAGCTCCTGTAATTTAGCATAATCATAGTTAGCCAGAAGGTGATATCCTGAATTGGAAGGTGGTGGAAAAATATACCTTGCAGCCAAAGGTATCCAGCCACTTGTGCTCCTTGTCTTTAGGTGTAGACTTAAATTGTGAGGTTTTAGACTTGTGATTAACCAAGTCTACGACTAACGAGTTTGGTTGGGGATGTGCAAAGAAGAAGTCCATGTCTTTTGCGGGGATGAAATATTTTCTGTCTGCCCTACAATTTGTTGGGGGAATAGAGGCGGGAGTTTGCCAAAACACATCTGATGATTCCAAGATAGCTTTGTTAATGGGTAGGGCTATCTTTGAGGATGCCGTGGGTTGTAGTATCATAAGTAATTTATAGTGTTTGTCTTGTACCTCTTGGAGTGTAATGTCCTGTGATTGAGCTACCTGTTTAAATAATTTTTGAAAGTGTTTTAGATCATCTGCTGGTGGAGAGGGCGATATCTGGAAAACTGCCGCATGTGATCTAGTAGATCTGGGATTGTGTGAGGAACTGTCCGAGTCCGAGTGAGGTAAGTTATCATTGTCATTGGAGCCAGCTTGTGTTATTACTGAGGGTGGGTTGAGATGGTAAGGAATGTGCAGATATAATCAGAGAGTGCATAGTTGTGTGCTGTGGCAATGCAGAAGCTGTGTCTCTTGAGTGGTAAACATGGGAGGAACGTGGTCGATACCCCTCCCATGGTTCCCAAGGGGGCCACTGAGGCTGAAATTGCTGTGGAAGATACATCCACGGCTGGCTAGGCCACAGGTGATGTTGTTGTAGGGAATGATCCCGATATGAATGCCAGGAAGCCACTGATTCAGATGGGGATGAATGGCACGATGAAAATCTACTCCAATGTCCATTGCCATAGTCAGTTAATGGTGAGAGCACCGTAGGAGAGTGAGAAGCCCTTTCTGGCATATGAGTGTGCCCCTGGGCATGAGACAGTAGGGAGGAGCGTGGAGAGCAGGCTCCTGGTCTGAGCGATGTGCCTGGCTGTGGCGATTTTTGTAAATGGTGTGTCTTGCGCAACGCTTTTTTATGCTGTGGTGCTGGAGTGCAGTCAAGTTCAGGCTGGCCAGGGATGGCTTATTCAGGTGCCTGTGGGAGCTAGTGGTGGTGGCATATGTGGCTTTATAAGTGCCGCTGCCTCAGCAGCACCAACCATTGTGGAGCACTTAGGTTCTGACTCAGCTCTCCAGGCTGATGGAGACTTGTGCCTCTCTGCAGTGCTGGATACTGACGACACCGGGGAAGAAGAGGCTTGGGGCAGTGCTGGTAATGAGTGTGCCAGGAAAACCCACAAAACTTGTGAGCCTTTACGGGGTGGGGAGGCACCCCTGTCAACAGACTTCTGCTGGCCCCGTGTCTCCTCAGATTTGTCCCTTAGGGGCTGTAGGGACTCCCAGAGGAGGTTTTTGAGCCACATTCCGCGGTCTTTTCTGGCTCTGGCTGTCATATTCTGACATTGCATGCACTTATGTGCTGCATGAGCTTCTCCCTGGCCTTTTAACGCAGAAGGCATGACTATCAGAAATAGGCACCAAGTCCCAACATCTTTTAAAGCCAGGGGAATCTGACATGTTGAAGGAAAAAAACTGCGGTAGCGACTATTCATTTTTATTTATTTTTTTTTAAATAAATGTTGAAGACTGTCGTTAAACTATGAAGAAATTCTAAACTAATCATGGAATTCCTTTGTTTTTCCTGTCAGAAAGAAGAGCACTGCTCTGACTCTGTCTTCATCCAAGGACAGTAGAAAAGGAACTAAGGGGGCTCATGCCGCACGTGCGCTCAGCAAGCAGCAGGACGGCGAGACACGGAGTGTGCAGACCCAGTGTGAGGGGCACTGCTCCCCAAAAACCTCCCATCAGCAGTGCAAGGATGCACCGAGACCTCATTGGAGCACACACAGGGACACCACTCGAAGAAGGCCAAGTTTCCCATGATCCCATAAAGTTTCTATACTGCCACAAGTTCTCATTCTCAGTGTTCTGTGCAAATTTATCTCTAAGGGTACGTCTAGACTACATGCCTCTGTCGCCAGAGGCATGTAGATTAGGCTACCAGACATAGGAAAATGAAGAGGTGATTTAATTTGTCGACCTCCCAGGTAAACCTCATCCCAGGAGGCATACCTGGGAGGTCGACAAATGCCTTTGATGTCGACCCCTGCGCGTCCAGACTACCGTGCTGTGCCGACAAACAGCTGATCGGCTGGCGACAGAGGCATGTAGTCTAGATGTTCCCTAAATGTCTTCCAAGAGCCCAGTATGCAGTAGAAGTGTTGGTAATGCTGCTAGACAATATTGACCTCCCATGGTTCAGCAAATTCTCTGGTTCAGCACCTGACAGGTCCCAATGGTGTTGGACTAGAGAGGTTCAACCTGTAGCAACTCCAGTGTAGAAGGCCATCACTTAAGTGGTCTGCTAAGCAGTATGTGAAGAAACAGAGGTCAGGAAAATCCCACTGAACTTCTGCAATCATCCTGAAAAACTTTATTTCAATTATATGGGTTTGTAAATGTACTGATCAACAAAATACAAGGAAAAAACAATCAAGGACCTTTTCATCTAAAATATTTATTTGACTGGACCAAAAAGGCGCTGCATTAAGTTGTATAACAAACAATAGTTAATGGATGCATCATCTCTTTCCAATGCAAGTTGTACATTGTTTCTTATTAAAAAATAATGTAGCAAAAAGAAACTAACTTGGGGCTTTGGTTTCATTTTTTCCCATACAAATTAAAAGCAGTCAAGTGATCTGACATTAAACCCCCACAACTTACACTCAACACGAATTGCAAGAATCCTTTAAAAAATTTTTTACACAATATTGTTAAAACCTATACAAAATAATTAACTATTTTAAATATTGTTTAAATATTCTTTTTTTTAAAACTATTAACTTTTTATTTGATGGTCGGAATTGATTTTTGGCATCGTGACAATTTACTTTTTTAAATATTATAAAACCTTCATAGTAAATATAAAAACAGAGCAAGTAATGTCCATTATCCAATAATATTTTACATGATATCAGTGCTCTAATGTGAGCTTTGTACTCTGTCTGCCAGACAAGTCATAACTCAGTTGTGGCTCTACCATTTAAGAGAATTCACTCACCATAGTGTAAGACCATAAGAGCACTACCAACGTGTATCTTCTATATATTATATACACATGCAGTATATAGTATGTAATTCCCACCTTGATTCATCGGGCTTTAAGTGTACATCCCCCAGCATTTAGATCAGACTATCTTTTAGCTCACATGCATATAATACCTATAGTTTGGAAAGAAAATTTTATCTGTTTTGCTCAGCCCAGCATTCTGAAAATGTAACATGTTAAGCAGATTCTTCATGTAACAAAATAAAAATGCACTGTTATAACTGCTGGCAGCTGTCATCTCGCTGTAAAAATGGCAATATTTATCTACTAGGCTGTCTCTAAGAAAATTAGGACTCACCTTTGATGCATTTCTGTGTTAGCAATAAGGGAGGCTGTAATGTAGATAGGATGCTGGCATCTTACCCCCAAGTTGTCAAGCTCTATTCTAAACAGTGTGAAACAGCAGTGGTTAAAACACCTGAGATTTAGCTATATTATGTTCTCCACCATTACTACCTTCTGGCAGAGCTGCCCTAGAGGAGAACTCTAAGTCCCACTTTTCCAAGTGTAGACACAGTCTGCTAACATGGGAGCTTGATGTCAAATTTTAATCTGCTGTCCATCTAGCTAGCTACACAACTACTTCAACAGTGAACTGTAGTGTTAAAACAAAATGTTTTCTATTTACACTCTAAATTCCATTTGAGCACTGTAGTCTGACAAAAACATTTCTACCATCATGTTATATGGAAGAGATATTCAGATAAACCTGTTAAACCCTCCCCCACACACGCTGCTGCCTCTGCAGAGGCAGCAGGGGAAGGGAGAGGCTTGCATATAACCATGAAGGTTAACTGTTTACACGTTTACAGTATCACATCTCTATTACATGGTACTGAAAATTATGTCCTCATCCAGCAAGATAGTCACATTAAAAAATTGGCTTCTATCCTATTGCTCTTTCAGTGTCTGAGAAGTAGTTGAGTTCTCAATTCAGTATCCACTTCAATAAAAACTCCACCACAAAGGCATCTATTTGCAACCTTCTTGGCTATCTCAGAATTGAACTAGCTTCTGATGCCTACACAGAGCACCATTCTCTGCAATCCACAGTTCAGGCACATTGGCACCACCTGTGTTGTAGAGAGAGGAATCCAGTCTCTAGAACTCCCAGCTCAGCACTTCCCTTGAAAACTTTTAACATGCCCGGGGAGAATTTTAAAAGCTCAAATGGTAAGTGCTTGGCACCTAATTATTTTGTGCATTTAAAACTTTTTGCACTTAAAACTTTAGAATGACTTTCCAAAACTGAATTCCTATTGAAAGTGTCCTGGTGAATACTTACAGCTTATGCACAGCAAGAAGAGTCATAGAATACTAGAACTGGAAAGGACCTCAAGAGATCATCAATTCCAGTCCCCTGCCCTCATGGCAGGGCCAAGCACTGTCTAAATCATCCCTGTTAGATGTCTCTCCAACTTTCTCTTAAATATCTCCAGTGATGGAGATTCCACAACCTGCTTAGGTAATTCATTCTAGTGTTTAATAATCCTGATATTTAGGAAGTTTTTCCTAATGTTCAACCTAAACCTCCCTTGCTGCAATTTATGCCCATTGCTTCTTGTACTATACTAGGTGGTTTCCCTCTGAGTTAATATTCTTTGAGCCACAGGCCACATCACGTAACACCAACAAGGGGAATCAAACCTGGGACCTCTGGTGCTTCGTGCATGAGCTGCTTCAGGTACATGAGTGGAGTTTTTCAGCATTAAACAAAACAGCTAAGCAGTTTTCTTTCCAGTATATGTATTAGAGAGTCAGCAGAAAGACGATGCTGTATCTAAAATGCTGTGCATGCATCAGACAAAACATTAATTTGGAATATTTAAATGGCTCATTTTGCTTTAGATTTGACATTTTTTTGAACTTGTACAGAAATAGTTATTTTTGCCATACTTAAAAGTAATCAATAAAAAGACAGGACTCTCTGTAACAAATGAGATCTTGAATCCTGCATTTACCTTTTAAAAAAAGACAGACTTCAATCATGCAAAATGAGTTCATCAAAACTTAGCAGTTGAAAGAATGTCTCTGCTGAAAAAGGCAGTGGGTAAAAGCCCCAAAATTAAATTCCTTGACAAATCATTTGAAATGTGTTTTGAAATTTCAGCCCAGACATTTTGAATGGTTAAAATTAGGAGCTAATGGGAACAGGCTCTGAATCTTAAAGTTGGTACTGTCTATACTGGCAGTCTTAGTTTTTAGGAACCCAACTTAACACATTTGTAGAAGCCTGATTTTCAGTGTCACTGAGTTCCTGCCCTCTAAAAATCAGGTGTTACCTTGGGCTCCCATATTCACTAGTTACTTCTGCCAACATCAGCCAGTGGGAATGTTCCCCCATTATATCACTTCTCGTTTATGGGCTAAGAGCCTGATCCAAAGCCCATTGCAATTAATGGGAATCCTTCCACTAATGCCAGTGGTTTTTTATTAGTCCATAAGATACTTTAGCAATAGCTCAAAAATGATGGACTCAACCCTGCAAACTGAATGCCCTATTTCCACACTGATTTCAGTGGGAGTTAAGATCCCTCAGCATCTCACAGGCTGGGGTGAGCCCTATAGACATTTCACTGTTTTTAAATGGGTCACTGAGGAAGAGTTTACTCATGATAAGACATGTTCTTTTTTAAAAAACATGTACTCCTCTATTTGCTACATAACATACCTTGGAGGATCACAGACATTTTTGCAGAATTAAGCAAAATCTTTAGACACAGCCTCTACAAAGTTTGGCGCTGACATTAAAATACCGATCGTACAAATAATTGTGAAGACAGAAAAGGCCATCAAGCATAGACGGTCTACCACAGAGGCTGCAAACTTCCATTCATTACAAATGGCTTCCTCCTCATCCTGGTCTCTGAACCGGTTTGCAATATAGCGGACCTCCTCCAATATCTTCGCCAAATCTGGGTCACCTTCCGAGGGGTGTCCACTGTGCAGGAGCGTCTCTTCTTCCGTTGGCGAGCAGGTCATCCTCCCACAAATTACCCCAGAATCAGTGGTAGGAGTGCAATGGACCCCGTCCAGCCCCCGGAACCCAAGATAGAGCATGTTCCCATTGCTGGCTTGTTGTCCGCTCACAGTGTTCATATCTACGCTTGACAAGCTGCAACGACGCTGCTTGTGCTGACAGGCAGGGCGCACTTTATCCTCCCCTGGTCTCTTCATTCTCAGGAACCAGGCACACCAGTTCAGAAGGATGATTCTTGTCTGAAAGAAGATGAAGGGGTAAAACATCTTTGTAAGCAGGACGACTGTCATCAAGAGCTATTTGTATTTTAGAGGCCTGGGCTCACCACTCGCCAAAGGTGCTACTGCACCCCCTGGCTTGAAGCGGTTTTCATTATACAAAGGGTTTATTACAATTTGTCTAAATGGCTCTCAGCACCTCCACTATAAAAATTGTTCCAGCACCCCCAGCTGTTGTTTCTGCACTTCACACTGTAGCCTAGTGGTGGCACCATAATTGTTCAACAGAGTGATTCTCAGCTACTGAATCCATTGTCCCACTCCCAGCAGTGCTGCTAGAGGCCATATGCAACTGTCAAATGATTACAGCCATGGGCTGGTCTGATACGAATCTCGGTAATGTTGATTTCTTATTACAGTCATGTCAGTTCATGACAAATGTTGCTGGTTTTAAATAGAAACTATGGACTTCTCTTTTATTAGAAAACAAATATTTTCAGTGAGGCTCTAAGCAGTTTTTATTTACACTTGAGGTAATAAATAAAGTTAAGTGCTAAAAACAGAAAGAAGAGTAAAAGAATTGCAATCTAATACTGCATTGCTTTTTGGCGGCAGTTGCTAAAAAGATGACATACTAATTGGATCAGATTGCTATATTTTACCGTGGGGTTTTTTACTATACACTCACACAAACCGCTTTTACGACAACTGATTGCAAACAGTATAAAACAGATCTGGATATACGAGAAAGCACAGATGGAACAGAAAAGTCCTTGGTAAAAAAGATTAGTTTCATTCTAGTTGTAAATCAATTCACTGGGTTTCATTTTATTAGTTTTTGCACTATTGTTTTCTAGCAACCCTACAAATAAGACATGTGAGGCAAAGAATGCTCCAGTTCAAATTCAGGCTTCCAAAGTTCAGCTCAATCAGGATTTAAAAAATTAATTCCAGTGTTTCTTTTTCATAGTCATAATGTCATTTCATTGTCTCAAAGGGAAGATTATTCACCTTGTGCAGTAACGGAGGTTCTTTGAGATGGTTGTCCATGTGGGTGCTCCATGTTAGGTGTTTTGGCATCTTGTGCTTATAGTCAGAGACTTTCAATAGCAGTACCCCAGATGGCAGCACATGCACGGGAGGGCTACGTCTACACTGGCACCCTTTTCCGGAAATGCTTAAAATGGAACAGTTTTCCGATATAAGTATTTCCGGAAAAAGCACGTCTACATTGGCAGGATGCTTTTCCGGAAAAGCGTCCGTGGCCAATGTAGACGCGCTTTTCCGGAAAAAAGCCCTGATTGTCATTTTCGCGATCGGGGCTTTTTTGCGGAAAAGACTACTGTGCTGTCTACACTGGCCCTTTTCCGGAATAGTTTTTCCGGAAAAGGACTTTTGCCCGAATGGGAGCAGCATAGTTTTTCCAGAAAAATACTGACAATTTTACAGTAATCGTCATTGCTTTTCCGGAAAAGCAAGCGGCCAGTGTAGACAGCTCGCAGCTTATTCCGGAAAAGCAGCTGCTTTTCCGGAATAAGTGGCCCAGTGTAGACACAGCCAACGTGTCTTGCACCTGTGCAAGCAGTTAATCCGCACACACTGCCAACCATCCCTCAGTTCCTTCTCTACTGCAGACAGACAGGCTAATCTGAAGCAGAGGGAAAGAAGGGGGGTCGTGGAGCACCCACAGGGACAACTATCTCGAAGACCCTCAAAAAAATGTAAAAAACAACAATGGTCCTGTAGCACCTTCGACATGAACCAAAAAATATATAGATAGTACCATGAGTGTTTGTGGGCACAACCCACTTCTTCAGATAAAAAATATGTGCTCCATGGTCTTAAACATTGGGGTTTTTTAGGGTTTTATTTAGTTCCAGACTAACACGCCCCTCTGAGACTTTCTGCACAAGGTGAATAACCCTCTTTTCTTCTTTGAGAAGTGTCCCTATGGGTGATCCATGTTAGATGACTATGGATGTCTTCTTGGGGCAGGTGAGGTTTTGAGATGTGTCTGTGTACCATTGTTAGCACAGACTGACCAAAGTGTGTGTCCACTGAGGAATATTGTTCTTTTGTGTAATGCTTGTTGAATGTATAGACTGATGTCCATGTCACTGCTCTGTAGATGTCCATGATGGGGACGCTGTTGAATAAGGCCCATGATATAGAGACAGCCCTGGTAGTGAGCGTGAATTGTTTGGGATGAATTTCATAGCACAGTTGTATGCATGTATGAGAGAGCCATTTAGATAGTCTTTGTTTGGATATTGCTTCTCCTTTAGATCATTCGGTGGTAGAGAGAAATAGGGGATTTCCTAAAAGTCTTTGTTCTCTCTAGCTATAAAATGAGTGCTCATCACATGCTGAGGGAATGGAGCACTGCCCGTCTGGTATCTGTATGCGGCTCTGGAAAGAATACAAGTAAGTAGGTGGGTAGATTCAGGTGGAAAGGTGATACTATTTTAGGGAGAAATTTGGGGTGGGGTCTTAATATAACTTTATCTTTCTGGACTATCATGTAGGTGGAACAGTGCACCACACCCAGAAGGTGCGTGGGTTACATACTTCCCCTAGCTGCAGAAGCATGTAGTGAGCTTCAGAGACATCCCAGTTGAAATCCCAGACAAACTCCCACTTGTAACATCGACAGGCAAAACTGAACCTGGAGCTTAGTGCATGAGCCTCTACCACGTGAGCTTAGCTAAGACTGTAGAGCAGACCTATTATTCCCTCGATACGTGGTCTTGGTGCCACTAAGTGGGATAGTACACCTAGTTTCATCTAGGGAGAAGGAGGATATGTGTGTAGGCAATAAACTCTGTTGTTCAGGTGTGTTGTCTGGCTTGTTAATTCTCTTGTTACTCTACATGGGAAGTAATGGATGAAGAGGGTGACTGAGTAGTGGAAAGAAATGTATGTTTGTAGCTTGCGGTTGATTTCTGTATTGCGCCCAGGGTTCCCAATATGGCCAGTCAGGAAGCATCGTACCAGTGGTGGCATACAGGGGTAAGGCTGCCACTGTTGTGGAATGATGGTGTCCGATGGGGTTATTTCAATGAGGAATGATGTGAGGTGCATGGTGTCACCTTTACTTCCCTGTTGGATGAAAATGGTGGTGCTGAACTTCCTGGTGTCATCAGCAAGGTAGGAACTGAAGAGCAGTGTTCCAGGTACTGAAATTAATGCTAATTGTTATGCATGGTAAGTGATGGTGGCACTAAGAACACTGGTATCACAGTGTGCATGCTTGTCTGCACCGGAGGTACCAGAGGTGCCTGCATCTGCCTGCTAGCAGTTAGTGAAAGTGCCTTGGCTTCTTCAGTGCCCACCATATGGAGCTGGAAGGCTGTTTCTTCCCTCATGTACCAGAAGCAGGATATGGCAGATCTTTTGCCTATTCCCCTTGGGATAGCTGTACGGGATGTGCCAGTGCCTCTCAGTCCAAAGTGCCATCAGTACTAGGGCTGATCTCTTGCCCAGAGAACACTTTTCCTTTGGCTATTCTCTTGGCAGCAAAGTTGGGAGCCTATGTTTTGTAGGCAGCTTAACTTTCACAGAAGGCAGACGAAATCCTTTGCCTCAGGCAGCAAAGGTCTCTCATGGTGGAGATCTATTCTCTGGGTCTGAAGACAACCTGGGGGATTTTCTCTATTAGAAGCAGCTTCAGTTGTAGGTCTCTGGCTTTGAGCAACCTGGCTGACAATTTTTTACAGTGAGGACACGTTTGTGGGATATGTGCCTCACCCAGGCAATGGATACACTGTGAGTATCCATCTGATATCAGGATAGAGAGCGTACAAGAGGTACAGCATTTGAATCTCAGCAAGCCTGGCTTGGTGTTAAGCTCTAGATTTGTCCAAGGATATTAGGGTTCAGAATAAGAGATTTTTTTAAATTATAAAAGAATAAATAGAAACTAGAGGGAGAAACGTGTAAATGGAAAACTATCTAACGTGTCTAGGGAGTGAAGTTCACAGAACTACTGATGTTCATTTTTTGAGGAGTAATGTTAGCTCAAACCAAGGGGTTTGATTCGAACTAATGTGTCCTGGAGCGCACTTCCTGGTTCAAATCAGCTGGCGAGCAGAATAGCGCACGGGCGAGATTATGCTAATAAAGCACGGGATATTTAAATCCCCGCTTCATTAGCAATTTCAGTCGGCTACATTTGCAACCCTAGTTCAAACTAGGGAGCAAGTATAGATGTACACTAAGTTACCACAGGACTACCCATTTATTATGATTTTAGAATGCCACATAGAGTAGATTACTCCTGATGATATTTTGAGAGTAAATGGTTTTTGCTAAAGACAGATCTCACATGCACTTGTATTTCTCTCAAACCCCACTAATATAATTCTGCTAAAAATAGGCCACCTTTGTTAACATAAGGCCTGACCCAAAAACCTATTGTCTCCTACTGAGTATAAATGGGCTTTTGATCAGGTCTTCACTCTTAAGTCTTGCTTATTTTACATGAGTATTCCAATTGATTCCAGTAGGAATATTTATGCAAATACAGACCTGAACATTTTGTTTTCTATCTATTTATCTCACACTGCACTGGTCTATATGTAATCAGTTACGTTTCTCCATCAATTGATTCTTAATCAGTTCCCTTTCAATTTAATTTCCAAAGCCACCACATAACTCTCTATCGTGTAGGCTCTTAGAGGAAGGGAGTGCCTAATGTCCTTATGGGACTGTGTGAAGTAGTGATCACTCACTCCTGAAAATCTAAAGAATATTTTCCATCTTCATTATTGCCCTGATGCTACAGGATGCAAGGTGAATTATATGGGAGTTGAAAATGCAATGCCATGCTATGCAGGACTCTTAGGTCTTAGGTGGATTATACTGGACCAGGAAGATCGGCTTAAGGTATGCAACTCCAGTTAAGCAAAATGCATAGCTGAGGTCAGCTTACCTTGAGCCAAGCCATAGTGGTGTCCATACAATCAAGGCTAATGGGAGCAAATTTTCCTAACAGCTTTCTTTACTCCTCACAGAAGGAGGAGTACTGGATGCTGGTGAGGGCTGCCTTCGGTGTTCACTAAATCAAATGCTAGAAGATCAACCTCGAGAGTGCTGATCATCTGGCAAGTATAGATGTGCCCATTGGGTATATCTACACAGCAATTAAATACCCACAGCTGGCCCACATCAGCTGAATGGGGCTCAAGGGCCTCAGAGCGCAGTGCTGTAAAACTGGGATGTAGACATTCGGGCATGAGCTACAGCCCTGGGAACCCACTGGGTACCAGAATTCAGGTTGCAGCCTGAACCAGCTGCCATGAGTGTTTAATTGCTGTGTAGACGTACCCTTAGCATTATTTCATCAGTATTCAGCTAGGCTATGTCTACACTGGCCCCTTCTTCGGAAGAGGCATGCTAATTTCTAACTTTGGAATAGGGAAATCCGCGGGGGATTTAAATATCCCCCGCGGGATTTAAATAAACATGGCCGCCACTTTTTTTCCGGCTTGGGGAAAAGCCGGAAAAGAGCGTCCAGACTGGCGCGAGCCTCCGGAATAAAGGCCTTTTCCGGAGGATCTCTTATTCCTACCTGAAGTAGGCACATCCCGTAAAACCAGAAGTAGGAATAAGAGATCCTCCGGAAAAGGCCTTTATTCCGGAGGCTCGCGCCAGTCTGGACGCTCTTTTCCGGCTTTTCCCCAAGCCGGAAAAAAAGTGGCGGCCATGTTTATTTAAATCCCGCGGGGGATATTTAAATCCCCCGCGGATTTCCCTATTCCAAAGTTAGAAATTAGCATGCCTCTTCCGAAGAAGGGGCCAGTGTAGACGTAGCCCTACTGTGCAAGATTCTGTGTCTCGGCCATGCTATGATAGTGCTATGCAGAAAAACAACAATTCATGCTACTAGCTCATGAAGACGGCATCAAACCTCAGGGAGAGTGGAATATGACCCACTGAAATACTATCTTTTCATTTGGACTTGACATAGTTTCCTGGCTTGATGGAAAAGTCAGTATATGATTCATAGAAAGCTCAAAAAATTCACCCTTCCACCTTAACAAACCTATCTAACAGCTGGTCACTGCTACAGCTGTTTACAAGTATACAATATTTAAATTTGGACATAGTACTTCATGAATTCTTGCAAGTGTTTCTCTTTTAGGCTACATCTACATTGTGGTGCTATTTCAGGATACCGGAGGTGTCCCGAAATAGCTATTCTGCATCTTTTGAGCAAGCCTATTATTTCAAAATAGATTTCGAAATAATGGGCATGCTATTCCAGCATCCCTGTAACCCACCTCCCACAAGAGTTAGGGGATGTTTTGGAATAGCACTTTATTTTGAAATTAGGTGCTATGTAGACAGGGTCAAATTTCAAAATAAGTTATTTCAAAATTACCTTGAAATAAGCTACACAATTTGCATAACTTATTTCGAGGTAAGAATACAATATAAACTCATGCTTACTGAAAAATGAGGGGCCCACAAAAGGAAATATATATGGACATTTTTGCTTTGCTGTGAAACTTTTTTTTTCTGGAAACAGCAAGAAGTAATAATAAGTCACCTGCCACTATTGCACGTCTCTAATCTGAAACTTTATATAGAGAATAAGTAGTTATTAGTGAACTGGAATCAGACCTTACCCACTTTGGCATTTTCCCCCCATCTGGGTCATGATGGTGATACTGCAGAACAACAACAGTGACAACAACAGAAAGACCAACAATAATCATGGTGCTGGCAAAATACTGAGCTGTGAAAATAAACACATGATCAAGATGTAAAATTATATTGATACACAGGCACTTTGTACATTTATTATTGTGTGCTTGCATACACCTATGGACACAGGTGCTATTCTAAAATAACACAGTCAATGTGGAAAACAAACCTGATTCTACACAAGCTACTTTCTAATACTTTTGGGAGAGATTTTTCAGAGGCAGAAAGGGTATTCAGTCATGTTCCCTCTAAGCTGCATGGCATCACAGCCCCTCCCTGCAGCTGCTTAATCAGCCCCACCCAGTCAGAGGCTCAGGGCTCCATGCAGCTTAGAGGGAGCACTGGTAGTCAAGCTCCCAACTCTCACTGATTTTTCAGGGGAAGTTGGAAACTGTTGTTTTCAAAGTATATATATATGCTTTGAACAGACACACACATATATTTAGAGAAATTAGATAAAAGCATTAAATACGGCTCTCCCTATACGGTTGCAACATAACACTGCTTTGTTTTTTAGCATCCAGAATCTTAACGCCCAAGAACCAAAAACAGAGAGCGACAAAACAGACTGCTACCTGACAGCACAAAACAGATATCGGACTCTTCCTTACAGAATCCCCTACTCTGCAAGCAGGACCAGCAAACCCCTTACACATTTAAAGTGAGAACATGTAATTTTAACACAGTTTTAATACAACATAGGCACCTGTTTTTAGTGCCTTTGAAAAGCTCCCCTTTCATTATTGTTGTTATCATTATTAGTTAGTTGGTTAATATCAGAGAAAGCGATGGAAGTTTTCTGCTTATATTTCAATTTCTACATAGAAATTGATATATAAGCAAAAAACTTCCATCACAGTGACCAAACCCTTCACTGAGCCCCTGTGAGCACCCTTTCTACTCTGCAGTGTCTCACACTCCTCATCCAAATGTCTCTCTGTGACCTCAACTGTGCCTTTGTCTTCCCCCACTGTTTCCCAGTACTTGGGATACACTGCACAATGGATGCACAACCATTCCCATTGTCCGGTGTGCTCCCTGTTTTCCTTCCAACATATGTTCTCCCAGAAGAAGGGGCAGAGCACCCTTAATTTCCACTGAAATAATTTTTCTGTATCATGCAGGATTGCTGATTCAACTGCTGTAAGCACACAAATCACACACTTCCTAAATCTGCCTTATTTTTGCCTTGAAGTGATATAATCCCAACTTGTTTGATTTTTCTTAATAAAAAAAAAAGAGAGAGAGACAAAGTTAAGGTTACCTATTAGTGGCACTGAATCTGATGTTGCTGGCATAATTTCTGCCACAAGTAGCATAAAGACAGTAAGAGACAATAAAACGGTTATACCTGAAAGACAAAGAGGAAGTACAGTATTAGGATTGCAGATTATTAGGTAATTGTTAATTTAAGAACAGATCTGAAGAAGAGCTATGTGAAATTTATTCTCACAATAATACATCTTCCACTGATTTATTCCTTATTCTCCATCCTATTCTCTTTTGATACTATGAAAATTCCAGTTTTACAGGATAAACTCTTGTCAAACTAGTTTAAATTTGTCTATATCTGTGCTTTTGATACATCTAATACAAAAGCCGCCTTGATAAAATCCCAATTTTTGTGTACTTGTACAAATGTAGGAGCTGGACCTAATAATTTCTTTCATGATAAAATTGCCAGGCCCCTGGACCAGTTGTGGAGGGCAGCTCCCTGTTCCTAGAAGGAGTGGCACCTCAGGAGGAAAGGAAGTAGACAGCCCTCAGCACCACTCAGACCATGCCATTCATGCTGTTTCTTAAAGAGCACAGTCCAGCTCCCACCAGTTCCTCCTAATCACCAAGTATCTGAAAAACATAAAGGAGAAACTGCAACGCGGGGAGGAGGGCAGGTAGTGGAGCACCCACGGGGACACACGACTCGAAGAACTGTCATTACTGCACCAAGGTGAGTAACTTCTTCTTGAGGATCAGAAAGCTCAGGTGGCTGGGATGGCGTTTGCACGGGAGGGCTGAGTGTGTCAGCTGGAATAGGAGAGGCCATGCGGCTTTGTCATGAATCTGACTGGTGACAGCAGGGTGACCAGTGTAGAGAATAGCATGATGAGACCTAACATGTGCCGGACAATGGTGCTCATAATAGGAATAACTGCAGTGGCAACTGTACTAATGCCTGGTAGGCGATGAGTGTCTGGAGGAGAAGGTGCTCCTATGGTCATCATGATAGTGATCATGATAGCGAGTATGTGCCAATAACGTGGGCCATCTAGGTGATCTGGATCTGGGTCCTGACGATGCAGGAGACAGAGATGCGCATCAGTGCCAATCATAATAATGAGGTGAAGGGGAACAGCATGCCACCGTGCTGTGGTAGTGCAGTGTCTCGGTACATCAGGAGGTGGTGACAATGGCACTGATGAAGGGAGAAGAGGCTCTGAAGAAAAAGTAATTCATTCCGGGCTGGGGGAAGGGTTAGCAATCCTGTGGGATTTGCGTTGGGCCTTAGTCGGTGCTGATAGCTGCTCTAATGCCAAGTTTGTTGGACACTGCGAAGCAGAGGCTCTCTTCAGTGCTGACGGGAGTGCCGGTGACAGCTGTGGTGCGAGAAGCGGCGCCTGCGCAGAGTGCACAGGTGGTGCTGAGAGCGCTGTCGGTACCAGCTGTGCTGTCAGGACTGGTATGAATATCGGTGCCGACTCCGGTGCTGGTGGCAGTTCCAAAAAGGACATCGGTGCTGTAGGTGCTGCTTCCAGTGATTTCGGGGCTAGGCTGGGATCCAGCGCTGACATACTGTGGCCTGTCTTTACTTTGTCAGGGCGGCTTTTAAGGGCCGTGCCAGAAGTACCCAGTTTGTCACTGATGCTAACACGGGTCTGTGGTAAAGATCTAGCTGGGGAGGGTTTCTTCTTCAGCAAGCAGTGAGACCTAGGCGAGGTGGCCCAGCTTTTATCAGCTCTGACTGAGTCTGACTGAGGAGGGGAGGTTTCCGTTCATGAGGGCTGGAGTGTTTTATCAAACAAAAGCATCCCCAGCCTCATTTCCCTGTCCCTTCTTGCTTGAGCTGTTAGTTTAAAGCAATGGGGACACTTTTGTGTCCCAAACACCGAATGAAGCAGGAGTGCCCATCTGACGCAGGCATAGGGTGCTGGCAGGCATGTCATTTCTTGAATCCAGGCGATCCAGGCATGGTCGACCTTTTTACCTCTTTCTTCTTTATTATTAAGGTTATAATTGTAGTTTTTAGTTTTGGAGTTTTTTGTTTGTTTGTTTTCAAATTATATGTTTAGAAAAAAACTATTATTGAAAACTAAGTATCAAACTACTACTACAAACTATTCCTAACAACGAAGAACTAACTAACAACTAATTTCAGTTCTGACAGGAGTTGAGGAGAGGAAGCTCACTCCATCTGCGATCAAGGACAGTTAGGAGGAACTGGCAGGAGCCGGACTGCGTACTCTAAGAAACAGCACGAATGGCACAAGGCGCTCAATGCACATGCATGGTCCAGCAGACGACTGCTGACAAATCTCCAATCTGCGGTGCCAGGACAAGCCTGACACTTACAGTTACCTACAGTGGAGCACCCACGGAGACAACACTTGAAGAAGAATCCAAAATTTAACCATAAATCTATTCCCAAAATAAGACAAACTTTTTCAAAGGGAGGCAAAGGGTGACTGGGGGCTCTGAATATATCACTTGCTAGTAAGAGGAATATAGACTTAAAATAACACCATACTAAAACGCCAACATACATGTCTTTTACAACATAGCCTTTACTTAGTGAAATTATTCTTCAGCAAGTAACTGTCAAATAGTAGCCCTATTTGTAATACACAATTATATTCAAACACTGTTATCTTACTGGTACTTTTTTGTTATTTATGTAACTCTTAGCTTTCCCCTAACTAGCAGCACATCCTATTCTTTCACACCTTTGCTTAGATGCCACCATAACAGAAGCTTTAAAAACACCTTTTTATTAAATAGAAATGCACCCAGACAGCCTCAGCATGCTCAGGGGAAACATCTGTCTATCTAGCTACACTGAAATCAGAAACCGTTTATATACAGCCATAAGGTGGTGAATTATATGAATCCGTGATGCCCAGGCACCAGGAGTATTCCTGGCTCAGGGGCCCTGTTCCACCAGTTTGGGGCAAGGTCTCTCCCTCTGTCCTGCCATCCCCCAGCCCTGCCAGACACCCCCGGATGATTTAAAATAGCCCAAGGACCCCAACCACCACCAGGACAGTGGGGCCAGAATGGCTTTCTGCCACTAGCTCCGCACCATTGCTGGCACCTTCCTGTAGCCCAGAGGGGGTTGTGTGTGTGTTTCCACACACTGCCCCCATCCCAAGCACCCCTGAAGCCAATGGGAAGCTGCAGGAGTGGTGCCTGCAGGTAGCAGTGTGTGAAGACCTCCTGGGCCCTCCACTTGGGTGCCCTAGATTAGCGCCACACACCCCCACCATCACCTTCCGCAGCCCATGTGCACTCCTCTCCTTCCCAGAGTTTGGACAACCCTCCCTTACCTCCCCTCCTGCACCAAAACTTCCTCCAAGAGCCTGAACTCCCCATCCCCTCCTACATTCCACCCCTTGTCCCATCCCAGAATCTGCACCCGAGGCTCCCTACTAAAAGCACATTCCTTCCCAGAGTCCAATCACGCATCCCTTCTGCACTCAAAACCTTCTGCACTCAAACTCTTTTCCAAAGCCCACGTCCCTCTCCCACCCAAATTCACTCCCAGAGCCTTAGGCAGGTGAGGGGAGAGAGCATTTGAGTGGGGAAGGGATATAGGCTCTAGACATTCTGGACACCACCAAAATTTTGCAAGCCTGCTGCCTCTGTATATAGCCAACCTTCAAAATACTTGCCAAATGTTTACCTAGTGAGATTTTCTCTCCTGAGTCAGCTGGAAGTAGAAAAACTAATAGGGCAAGTGCTGATATCAGCACACAAGGAATGAGAAGATTGAGTCCATAATACAGAGTTCTACGTCTCATAGTAACTGTGAATGTCACATCTGGGTAAGGTTCTTTACAACATTCATAAAAACTCTCGCTCCTTTTTCCAGGAACTCCTGCATAGAAAAAACACAGGGAGAAAAGCAGAATGGAATGAATGTTAATATAGAAGGCACATTTAGACAAAAGCCTCCAAGTATTGTCTCTGAAGTCCCACAACAGGTAAAATGTTCCTCTTTCATTTCAATTCTCTTCTCTTTTACATGACAAAAATTTATAAAGAATCAGAGTAAAAAAGGTATTCAGTGAATTTACAATGACAAGAGTTTTGTTAGTGCCTCTACCTTCTTCTAATTTCTTCACCTTTTATCTGTTTTTCCACCACATTTCAATACCGTTGGCTCAGACTTTCCTAGTGTGTACAAATCCACTGCTTGGTAACCCTAATATATAGCTTCATTTTTCTCTGCAATCTACAATAAATTCTGTTCATTTGTCTGCAATCTACAATGAGTTCATGTGTCTGCCATAGATCTATTAGGTAAAATGGACTGATGGATCAGCATGACTTTGTTATGCTTCTTGCTATCTGCGCTGTGTACATTTTTACTGTCTAAAAAGACAAGGGACCTGATCATCAATTACATATGGGTCCTTTTGTACTGATCTACTTTTCCTTCTACTTTAAGGTCTCCCAAAGTACAGAGTATAAATGAAAATCAGGTCTAAGGAGCTTACCTACTAGATCCCACTCTCCATTTGAAATGTACCCCGATATATCTGCTGCTTGCATTTGTAAATCCAAGGACCATCCACCATAGGTCCAAGATCCAAACTTCAGATTGCACTTCTGAACATCAAATGGAAACCAGCGCACATCTATGTAGCATGAGCTCTTGAATATGCCTACAATAGAGTTTTAAAAGAACAAAAAAAATAACTGAAATGCTTGTTTCACGTACTATTACGTCTGGATTTTTTTAGCTGATCCCTGTTCCATACTGCAGCTATCAAGTACTTACTGTGAGAGTTTGTCTACACAACACAGAAAAACCTGCAGCTAGCCTATGCCAGCTGATTTGGGATCGCAGGGAGGCAACCGAAGCCATGAAGCATACACAGTAATGAAAAAATATTGGATGCTACAGGGGTGGTCACTCTAGAAGACCCAAAGATAGACAGAAGACACCTGATTCTAAGAATTATACTCTAGGAAAAAGAAAGAGCAGCAGATGTACAATCAGACACTGCTCACAATATTTCAAAATTTCAAATATGAAATACAAGACTTTTCAGGAATGAGCTACAAACCAAAAGCTGTTCTTAGAAAGTGTTCAGTACATCATTTCAAATGGCCACTCCATCCAAGAAATTAGTAAATTGCTTACGATGGGAAAGAATTCATGAAAAGAAAGGCTACGTTCATGGAATAAATTATTCATGTTCAATTATTCCCTCAGCTTTAGGAAATGAAATTCTTTGTATATTAAATGCTCATGCCATTTTTATTTCTATTCATAATTCCACACTTCTGAAACCACAGATTGATAACAGGAAATGAGGCTAACCTAGTTATATGACAGAGGATTACATCACTGAAATTGCTAATTTATTTTTCTACGGTGGTGTCTCTGCAAGAGTGTTTTATTAATTGAGGCATATGTATTTATGGGTCCTCATGCGTAATTTATATACAGGTTGTACCTTCTTTAACCAGGACTCTCTGGTCCAGCAACATCTGTGGTCCGGCATGGATCACAAAGCCCAAGAACAGGGAGATCTAGTGGTAGGGCAGGAGCACGGTAGGTGGGACCTGAGACTCAGCTGGGAGCCCAATGTTGGGAGGTGGGCGGCACGGCCAGGGAGCTCTGACCCCAGTGATAGCCAGGGAAATTTGGCCTGGCCATGTTCTGGCTCCAGCCCCACCCCAGCAGTAGCCAAGAGCCCCAACCCCAGCCCTCTGTCCCAGCCATGAAATTCCAGCCCCTGCTGCACAGCTCCAGCCATCGTGTCGCGGCTGGCATCAGCTAGACAGCTCCGGGTGGATGGGGCAGCACAGGCCATGAGAGGAGAAACCTCCCCTTGTCCAGCAAATCCTCTCGTTTGGGACCAGCCAGGTCCCAAGGGTGCCAGACCAGGGAGGTCCAACCTATAGCTTTAAATGTAGCAAACAGGTGCTATCTGGTTTTATATGTAGTATGAAAGTTTATATCCAAACTATGAGACTGCTTCATAAATGTAGGCAAGTGCTATTAGAAGGAAACAATCTACTTCTTACCTGGGGGCAGGTATTGGCAGTGTCCTGAAGAATTGACCAAAACATTGGTATGAAACGTTGCATCAAACCGCTCATCAGCACTACAACGGAGGGGAAGAAGAGCTAATTACACTCAAATGGAATCAATCAGTTTACCCCCGGCTCACACCCCTGGCTCTCTGCCCGCACCTCAACCCCCAGCTCACACCCCTGGCTCTCTGCCCGCACCTCAACCCCCAGCTCACACCCCTGGCTCTCTGCCCGCACCTCAACCCCCAGCTCACACCCAAACCAAACAAAGCAAAAAATAAACTCTTGACTGGATGCTCTTCTAACTGCAATTTTATCTCAGTGTTGTGTACATTATTTGACTTCCTGGGAAGATAAATACAGTTAATGGTCTCCTTCACTTGCTCTCTGATCTACTAGTCTATAATCTAAGACTAGATTAATGACCATGGAATTGCACAATTGATTTCCATTTGGGAAATAAGCCCTTTCCAAAATTCTAGAGGAACTGTATTAGTTACGTGCTGGCAACAAGAGAAAACCAGATCTTTCTTTAAGAGGAGATAATGAACATTGGGCATGTCTACACTACAGAGTTATTTCAAAATAACAAGGCAAATGTCCACACAGCAAGCGTGTTCTTTTGAAATTACCCAGATATACATTCCTTTATGATCTCTATGCAAAATATGTTCAGTCTGCAAAGCCACAGGATCCAGCCCACGGACACACTGGGGAGACTCATGCAGACTCCCTGCTTGCTCTGTGGTCCCCTCCCTCCCCACATCCCTCAGGAAAGTGGCTGCCGTGGCCAATTCACTTTATCAGCTGTAAGCTCAGGGGAAGGGGGTGTGGCACATTACATGCTGCTCCCACCCCCAATACAATCCCATTGGCTGATGTCTGGCTGCCTCCCTTGCTTGCTCACCATGGAGGGTCAGACTTCCGGCAGTGACACTGACCCTACATTCCATGCTCCATGGGCGGGGGAATCAGGAAAGATGTAGTGGCTGAGACAGGGAGTCTCAAAGAATTTCTTAAAACAGGCAGCGTGTGAAGCACCACTCTCCCCTTCCCTCAGACTCTTATTCACCAACGCACCTGGCCCCTACAGCCTCTGCATGGGTGGGGCAGGCAGAAAAGCTGCCTGAGAAAGGTGCTGGGCTGCTGGCCGGTAGTCACCCTGGTAAGTCTCCTGGCCAGAGTCTGCCTCTGGCACTCCAGCTCCTCCCTTCCCCCAACCCACTGCCACCCCACATAACCCACACCCTCTGTCCCCCTCCTAAACCCATACCCCCTCCTGCACCCTAATCCCCTGCTCTAGATCACATCCTAAACCCTGTTCCACCCATACACCCCAATCCCTGCCCCAGGTCACAACCCCCTCCTATCCTAGGTCACAACACAAATCTCTGCACCCCAAACACCTGCACCCCAGTCCAGTGTCCCAGATCACAACCTCCTCCTTCACCCAAACCCCACACTCCCTCCTGCACCCCAATTCCTTACCCCAAGCTCCCTTCTGCACCCAACCCCCACCCCCAGACCCCACATCTCCTCCATTAATATCATGGAAGAGTGAGGCCCTTGACCACTTTCTAAAACCTTGGAGTGACCTCCCCATCAAAAACTATTGCCCACTCCTGCTCTACGAGGAATAACGCTTATTTCAAATTCACTATTTCAGAAAAGGGTGAGTGTGGACGCTCCGCTGTGCTTATTTTGAAATAATTGGCCTCCAGGGCGTCTCACCACTGCCCTGGTGGCCACTCTGTCTACTCCTCACTTGGCCTACTTGGTCTGGAGCTCACACAGCAGCCTGTGCATGTGGGTGCACATGGAGCACCAGTATGGAGCACCAGTCTGGAGCACCCAGCCCTATGAGGAACCTGTCTCTCCTCCTCACAAGGTTCGTGGAGAGTCCTGCTTTACTCCCGACTCTGTGGTGGGACACATTCACATAACAAGCCACCACTAAGGAGGCTGGGGTCATGGAACCACACAGCAGTGCTGCACTCGGCATAGGGTCATCCCCGCACTTTTGGGCAGCATCAGTTCCTGGTCAAGCATATTGAGGCAGAGGACACCAATCTACTGCATGGGAGCCTGCTGGGGGGGGGAAGAGATGGGGCTCCCTGCCCTCCCTCTCCCATCTGCAGGCTCCTGGCCTGGCTAGCACCTTTCCATGCCAGCTTGTCCCCCAGAAATGGGGTAAAGAGGCTCCCTTGGGACATCTGTGCCCTTGCAGGAAAGGGCCCGCTGTCTAGGCAACAGATGTCCTAGCTCCCAGGCTGCCTGTCTGTCTCATCACTGTGGGCTCCAGTGGCAGCTCTTCCCAGTGAGCCAAGCCGGGCACAGCCACATCGAGATGGACTGCGTGTGCAGGAGCTGCTGGCCGGCAGGAAGGGGTGGCAAGAGGCAGCCAGTGTGGCAGCAGCTCCCTGTGAGCGGAGCCACATGGCGTAGCACTGAGCCAGGCTATGGCGGCGTGTGCGCAGGAACTGCCAGCCAGCGGGGGGAGAGAGGCGGCAAGTGGGGGGAGCAGATCATACCTGCCGCGTTGGGCACAGCCCCGCCAAGGGGATCCGGGGGGGGGGCGGAA